AGAAAACTCAATACAACATACATTATTCCATAAATCCTATATACGATACCTTGAAAATTTATATAAAAGTATGATCATTTCAATAGTATCCAAATATGACTGACTGCTAACTGATTTTTCGCCTCATTATTCAATGATTGCTGAGCTAAAAATTTCTACTTGTACACTATAGATGAGTTATTTACATTCGTGATGATCATGATTTCATGTAAAAGTTTTTCAGTTTTCTATTTCTGTGACTCATCGAATTTGAATTCTACTTATACTTTCACGTTTCTCTGACTTCTACCGATTTTGCGATTCGCTTGGCAACATCGCCCCCCGCGACCCGACGTAATCCAGCGTCGCGACGTCAGGGAAGCTGGCGCCACCGGTTTAACGGCCTGGCTCTCGCTATTCTTCCAATTTACGACTTATCGGATATTATACAATGTCGGAAAACGATCGTAGGTAATCGAAAAAGGGGTTATTTCTCCCGACATGTTGCCAGGTCGAAGACCGACAAGTTGGCGCTGAACAGGTCAGCGTTTTTCTAGAATGGAAGATAATACAGTTAGCAACACATCAGAAAGTGCTTCACACAAGAAGTATCAGATGTGTTTTGTCGATTTAAAGGAAAATATTAATAAAATGAAAGGAAATCATAATTGTTTCTCCAATATTTTGCTTTCGTCCTTTATATTGACACTTCTCAGAAACAGAAGGAAAAAATCTGAGTTTCAGACAGGATGTTGTCTTCAATTCACCAATTCACAAACTCGAGATTCAGGAGTGAATGCAATGTTTTTTCTATATCAACTGAAGAGCAATGTTGTCTTCAGAAGTACGCATGCGATTCTTCAATTTTTTTTGTAGTCTTTTCCTATGCTATTCCTATGAAGAAAAAAACGATAGAAAATACCTCAAAAGATCAAAATTTTCAAACCATTCAGTTGTTCACCTTGAATTTCCCACAGATATATAGGTTGAGTTCGAGGTTGAGATGATAGAAAAAAAATAGATGTGAAAGCATTGACTCACAAACATTGAAAGAGGAGTGATTTGAAAAAGAAAAGGATTGAAAATACCTCAAAAAATCAAATTATCAAAATAATCGATTCTTCACCTCGGTTATTCCACAGAAAAATTGGTTGAGATGATAGGGAAAGAATGGCTGTTTACACATTGACTTATATAAATACCTTGGGAGAAGAGCTATTTGGAAATAACGATTGAAAATACCTCAACAAGTCTGCCATATTATGTTTTCCCTTTTTAGCAAGGATATATTAGTTTCAACTAATTTTTGATTCATCGATTTTCTCACCAATATTTACTGTATATACAATTATTCAAGTAAGAATTGACTGCAGAGTATTCTCAGTCTTGAACACAGTTTTCTTGAAACGTATCAATCACCAACACTTCATTTTTTCAGATATGTCGGGAATGGTATTATTTTTCTTGTTTCGTAAGCACTGGTTATTGTGTTGTTATTATTTAATGAGAGATGAATGGATCACTAATAATTCACTATAGCAGAAAATACAAGGTGAATGGAAATAAAAATTTAAAAAAAATACTTTAGGAAGGAATGCCCGAATCAGAAGATGTTCAAGAAAAAATGTTTGGTTTCAATCTCTGGTTTCAGGATGGGATTTCAGAGCCGTCGTAGATTGCTGACATTGTCCTTCATAAAATAAGCACATTGCTTATTAGTTCATTTTCTTTTCACTTTGGGATTTGAACATTATGCCGTTCAGATATCCTTTAGAGAAGTGAAAATCTCAGTACTCTAGGAGGATAATAATTATCATGACAGTTATCTGTTTAACCTGTGCAAAAGATTTAATATACTAAAGTATGGGGATTTCCAAATCGCCCTAACGGTGTTAACTAACTACCTGTCTCTATTTTGGATGCGCAAGTAAGATAAGTCTATTCTATCATCAATATCGGTTTGGATCATAATATGATTATGTCGGGGGATGATACCGGTATTATGGTGATTTAAGCAGGTTATGGTGGGTTACAGGATGGGGTTTTCCACTTTTGATATGGTTCCCTAGATTTCTATTGCTTGCATGCAGAAATCACACCCTAATTGTGTTTGGTTGATTTACTCTTCAGAAAATAGTTGACATTGACATTGACTATTGGTCCTACCTATTATTTTCTGTGAAGTACGAAATTTTATCTCAATGAATTAGATAAATCACCACAGGTTGTTACTATGTTTTGTGTCAACTAGAATTTTAGACCTGGTATAAAAATTTTATTGATTATTTTTTTCAAACTGTGTTTTTTCAGTTGTATCAACCAATATCGATGCGTAATTTTTGCCAATCATTTGGTATCATACTGATGATTTGTTAATATCAAATTACAGCGATAATTTCTTCACATTACAGTCTAAATGAATACAAAAAGTGGCACATTCACACAGACTGCGTTGCTGGTAGGCTGTTTTGTTCGACGAACAACTCTGTTGAAAAAAAACAATTATGCAAGATCGAAGAGTGTGGCTGTAAAATGTTCTTTTTCGCTGGGCATTTTGCGAAATAGATAAAAAAATAATCACGCCGAATTACATTCGTGGTGGTGATTTTTTTTTTGAATTTCAACTACATTAGCACTCGTTTGTTGGCTTTTGAGAAATCCCACTCGTGGACTTCTTCCACTCAAATTATCAAAAAATAACCACCACTTTTGTAATAATTACTGTTGAAAACAGTAATCTCAGGATATTTGAATTTATTCTAATAGCTCCTATATATTGAATATAATTAAAAATAGTTATTTATTATACAAGGGAAAAAAGTTGTAGATTTTAGCTCCAGGTTGTGTTGTCTCCCGACGCGTAGCGGAGGGAGACAAGAAACCGTGAGCTAAAATCTAATATTTTTCCCGTGTATAATACACTATTTTTTTCTGTGACAGAGGAAAGGACGAATCATTATTGAGCAAATGTTACATTATTTTGAAATCTGAAAATTATCGACGTGAAATTTTAAGTTTTTAACAGTAGGGACACCTGCGTTCTATAGGCATCTTTATCATTCTTTTGAAGTAATCAAATATTTGATGTCACTTCTGTCAGTCTAATTCTGTGATTTGATTTCAAAAAATTGCGAATTTAGTGGTTGTTTAGTAATATAACGTAACCGCGAAGTCGAATCGAAGATGAGGACTTGCAGTTCTTTCTCGGAGACGGTATTATTGACTCATTTTTCGGAACTATAGCACAACAAAAGCCATCAACAGTGTATATATATGTGATATATATCCGGGAAAAAGGTACTCACTTTTTGCCCACGGGAAAAAAGTAATTTATGAAAAGTGACATTTTATAACCTGCCAACAGAGATGGAATGCCAAACTTCTTTCCCGTCACAGAAAAAACTGTTTTATTGCTGAACACTAATTCATGGCAAAATGATATATTTTATATTATACAGAGTGTTCTCGATATTGGAGCTATAAATGAAACGGTGGGTTTTTTCAAATATTGTTTCTCTTCTCATAGAGCTGAAGAAAACCTTCTCGAAATTCGAATCGTACAAATATAGAGGTAACAAAAATAAACCGTTTTTTTCCAGATCATGAAGTAAAACATTTTAAAAATTCTACCTACATTTGCAAAATATCCCTCCCCCCTGTCATCTTCGGAACGATTATCCATAAACAAGTGAAATTTGAAAACTGGATATTGAGGGTTGTAAACTTCCCTACTAGTGATGATAGATGACGAAATCGTCAAAGATGACGTCACAAGGTCATTGCAACCAATAATTTTAAATGGTGCCCTAGACCCCTCTTTCAAGAGGTATCGAAAAAACTTATTCAATAATACTAATTTCGTTTGTTTGCTCTCAAAATAATGCAAAGCTGTCGTGATGGATTGAATCAGTTAATACTGAAAGTAAAAATTCAAGTTCTGCCTCAGGATAGTTGTCGAAAAAACTGATGTTATCGTTATTCTCTCTAATTTGACGTTTTTGTAATTGTCCAAGTTTTTGAATTTGTGTAGGGAAGGAGACTTTTGAGAAGCACTGTATGATTAATCAATTGAATTTGTCACTTTTCATCTCTAGTGGCATCTATAATATGAAGAAGTAACTTAACCGGAACAGACCGGAATCTGTAAATTCTACTTTTACCTTATATAGTGATCTACGATACTCACTGAGCTAATGGTGACATTGAAGAACTCTACTAAATCGGCGTTGACTTTGAGTTTTGCATGGTGAAGCATAGATGGCGAAGCTAGGTCGAGGTAGAGAATACTACAGTGACATATAGAGTCACTGTAGAGAATACCCCCAATATACACGGTGATGGAAAAGTCTTCTGATATTTTTTTTCTTCGCATATACGTCATAAATGAAGACATTCCATCTCATGAATTCATTGTAATCATCAAAATTTGATTTTTCAAGATGAACAATTTGATTAAATAATATTTGGGAAATGAAAGAGTTCAGATTTTTAAAAGGAGTATTTCTACTTTATTCTTCATTTCTGAAAGTGAGTTTTTATAAGGAATGAACAACTGTTTTTTCGTAAATTTTTTTTGATGGACTATGATATCAGAATCACGGAAATACTGTCAACACAATCTTGACCCAACGTGTATTTTTGTAGAGTCTCTGTAGATGAACTAATAAGCTGAAAAATAAAGATTTATATTTCTCCCCTAAGTAGGTATTTGAGTGATGCAGGCATAGATGGCGCAAAGTTGAAGAATGAAAATAATGAAAGATTTTGTGATTTTGATAATTTTTTTATATGTTCGAGTATTACAGATTATATGATCAATCTCAAGGATCTGTTATAGTCGTAACTGAAAAAACAAAGAAAAAAAAAAGACTTCCGGTACCGGGAATCGAACCCGAGCCTCCTGGGTGAAAGCCAGGTATCCTAGCCACTAGACCATACCGGATGATGAAAAACGTTGGTTTCTTTCTGTTATATAAATATCATTTTATTAGTAGACCTTTGATTATACAGGGAGTTTGTTATTATGGGTGATAGCCAGTAATTAGCCTATGAAAAATATGGGCGTCGAAAATATTTTTTCTTGGGATAGAAGGCAAAGGCATTGAGATAAAATCATGTTGTTCCAATGATGTCAAAGAGTGAGTGAGTGTGGCGTCACCCATCAGGCAAATGGCTCTTCTCTGGATTAAGAGCATCAGTGTATGTTTTGGTGCTGAACCCCATATGTGGGAACAGTATTCTAGAACAGGCCGTATCTGCGCTTTATAGATCATGAGAAGCTGTTGAGGTGTAAAGTATAGCTTTTCGCACGGAACAATAAGAATCCGAGTTTTTGTGAAGCAGCTTTTGCGATGGATCTGACATGATCATCCCATGAAAGAGTGTTGCTGATGGAAATATCGAGCATAGATATATGGTGGGCTTGATGGGGATGGTGGAGCCAGACATTACAATATCGGGCATACTGAGTTCCGCCTTTCTAGAGAAAATGTAGGCTTGAATTTTGGTGGCGTTGAATTCAACTAGGTTGTTGGTTCCCCAGGCTGTGATTTAAGCAAGGTCTTCATTGACAGCATTGACCTGCCTGCGCCGTGAGTTCTTAGTTTCCTGGGAAGGAATGGGAATTCTGGAAGAGAACGCAGTATGGAGGGTACTATCATCTGCAAAGCTGTGAATGGGGCAAGTTGTTACTCCCAACAGATCATTTTTATATTGCCATCAGCAGAGTATGCTATCGATAATCAATGGGCCATTGGATCGCCAGCTCTCTCATCGTATTTGCTGGGCCATTATTTCAAAAGTTATCCATGGCGAATTCGACTGAAATGATCACAGTGTACGATAAGTTCTTCTGGAATCAATTAATTTTTTTATTATCCCACTTCTGAAACGGCTCTCGCGTCACCCGAAAATCGCTTTATGGACGTCTCTCGCGGGACCAATCACGTGTTTAAACTAGACCAGTCGCCATATTGAGCCATAAACCGATGACAATTAGCCATAAAACGTTTATGGACCTGACTAACGAACTGTTTCGAAAACATCTTCGGGAGGATGGTGCAACGCTGATGGTGTTCCCTTTTGTGGAGAGATATTGGCGTCGATGTGCGGGGGTTTGAAGATGATTTTGAGGATTCATTTATTGGGTCACACGATGGGCCGGACTCGGAAAAGTCACAAATACAACAGTTATTTATTATACGAAGGAAACAAAATTGTAGATTTTAGCTCCAGGTTGGAGTGGATATATGTTACATATGTATACACTGATGATGACTTTTGTTGTGCTATAGTTCCGAGAAATAAACCAATTACATAGTCTCCGAGAAAGAACTGCAAGTCCTTTTATCTTCCATTCGACCTCACTGTTACGTAAATTATTAAACAACCACTAACTTTGCAATATTTATGAACAAATCACAGAACTCGACTGACAGATATTTGATTATTTCAAAAGAATGACTAAGATGCCTGCAACGCGCAACGCAGGTGTCATTCGTGTTAAAAACTTTAAATTTCACGTCGATAATTTTCTGATTATGATATAATGTAAAATCTTCTCAATATTGATTCGGCCTTGTTTATGTCACAGAAAAAAATAGTGTATTATGCACAGGAAAAATATTAGATTTTAGCTCATGGTTTTGGTCTCCCTCCGCTTACTTTTTTCCCTTGTGTCATAAATAACTATTTTTGCCATTTTTTTGTTGAGTCATATTTTATTTTCTCTCAGAAACCTGATTCACTTTTCTAACTTAACTTCTTAAAATGATACATATTTAGAAAGAATTTTGTTTGTGGAGAAACAAGATTAGAATGATTGTTAAAACAACTTATCAATTTGAAATTGTTTATTTTTTTCTTACAACAAAATCTGGAAGATTTCAAATTTCGAAACATTTATAGTAATTTCTTTGGATTCGAATGTACTCACGAGTCTAAAGGAACTGACGATAAGAAGTCAATCTTTAATTTCAGAAAACTATGATTTTTCGAAACGTATACTAGATATATGACAACTAAATATCGGGCATTTTGGATAGTTGTTTGACCAGTACAATCTAGATGAAGAAAAAGACGCTATATTATGGCTTATTCGTTCTCGACCTAAAATAAAGTGTCGAATTTTGAAGGTCTGATTATTTGGGAACGTCTTTATTCTAAAGAATGCGAACACTTCTCAAAAACAAGGCACCACTGAATATCGTTTGAATTTTCTCCTATAGGTTCCAATAGTGAAATTTCTTGAATGGAATGAGAAATTTAAAAGAAATGTATAGAAATTCAATGAAAAATCTTATTTTCATGAATAAAGAGTGAAAGGAAACAAAATGCAAAAACTTTGTACTGCTACCTTTTCACAATGTTGAGCTTGGAATCGAGTTCCAGTGTTTTTTTTTCAGATATTTCTCAGTCCTACAATGAAGACGCTCTAGTATTTATTGAAAATCCAATAGTCCTCCCCTGTCCAAAGTTATTCAAGATGTTATTCACAGATCCAATTAAATAATAAACTTTTATTTCGCGCATTCATGGAATGATTCAAACTCCAAACTTCTGAGTGGGTAAATAAGAAGCTAGTCTTTATTGTCCAGAGAAATGGGAAAATCTTGAGACGATCATAAACGGAATTGTTCCACATCTCCTCCAAAACTCCATCTGACTGAGATTGTTTTCATTATGTCAAAATGATGGAAACATGGCAGTATTCAATTCAAATTGCCCATCAAAATATATTCTCTATGTATGAAAAGTAATGCTGTTTCTATAAAATTGAATGTTATAAAAACTTGAAAATAAAATCAAATAGATGAAAGTGGTTGCTGCACCCGCAGATATGAAAATGAGAGGGTTTTTGCATGGCGATCATGAGCTGTGGTGAGTTTTCACCCGATTAGCCAATTTTAATATTCCACCCTCTTGATCGCTCGGCGCCAATAAATCAGTAATTATACCTATCTAATCTTGTTCCTGTGAGTTCATGGGGAATTTCGTTCGGATTCAATTTGAGCGTTCTGATTTCTCTTCGTGGCACGACGAAGCTTTAAAAAGTGAATCTCGAAAGAATTCATTCATTATCTGCCAAACACGGCTACGCCTCATTAAAAAAATCAGTTCAAGATCACCAAAGTAGCATTTCGCGCACTAGATACAAAAATAATAATTTTTTCAAGAAAACGATTTACTTGGTCGAGTTTCCTCAGAGTGTACTGTTGATTGTGAAAATTATTTTTGATTATTATTAGGGTGCACGACCCAGTTTAACTAGAGAAGTGGAAGCTGTCGAGATATGAAAACGATTGTCAAGATTGTAACTCATTCAAAATCAATACAATATTGCAGTTTCAATACACAAAATAATAATATAACTAACAGGTTATGGGCCCAGCACGCTTCCAAAGTTGTGATTTTGTTGAGATTGACATGAATTTCTCTTTTGTTGCTGTTTTCTCCGTTTGGTGGAAATCCGCATTTACATTTCGTTTCCAGAATTGGTAGCAGGGTCGGTATTCATATAACCCGTAATCAACCCTCTACTCTACCACCTCCCATCACTACCGGCTTTGGAAACGGCACAACGAGCGAGGAATTTCCGGTGCTGGTCGCGTTCCGGAAGCGCCTCCATTGTGTGTGACGTCATAATTAACGAACTAAACTTAACATGTGCTTTCCTGCCGCCATTGTGGCCGACGAAATTAACGAGAGCTCGTTTCCTTTCGATACCCCCCGACCGTATACTATGTATATTTATATATACATCACGTGACCCGCGATCGTGTCGACTGTTTTGCGAATGTGCGTTATTAATGAGGGTCCAGCAGGTTCGACCGATCCCGGTATATGGTCCTATCAAAAGAGTTATCGGAGGATACTATGGTATACACTGTATACTTTACAGGGTGTTTCCTAACCTCTTAGTCTCTGACAAAATAGAAGGAGTGAATCCTCACTACATTTCAAGATGAAAATGTAGAATACCAACTTTTTTTTTCGAATGTCACTTAGTTTTCAAATTACAAAGTGATATCGTAGTATCGTGCCTAGATATTCGAAGGGAAGATGGTTTCTTGTAGGGATTCTTACGTTGTTAATTACACTAGAATACGTAGTTTGATGATTTTTTTTTGTATTTGCTGATGATCAAATTCACATCTCTCTTTCACAACTATTGACCATAAGCAATCAAACCACCAATGGGATATAAAATCATATATAGTGTAGGGTGCACTATTTGAAAAATTGATGTTATGAAAGTTTGAATTTCGTGAAAGTCATATAATATTTCTGTCCACCCTGTATAACTTTCGTAGAAGATGAGTATTTCATATGATAGAATATGCCACCGACTACCAACAGTCTTGAATGATTCCATAAATATGTAAGTATGAATAATGGGTTTGTCTATAAAAAAGTATGCATTTCATGAAATACTGGTATAACTTGGCAACGCCTTGTCGGATTTTCAAAAATCAAAAATTGATAATTAGCCTTAAGGAATGAGAATTCAGATATGTTGAAATATATGGGATGTCCCATTTAAAAAAAATTATGTTCGATTTTGTGAACCTTTCTTGCGCACCTCGTATAAAATTTAGTCATTCCTGAAGTTAGCACTCATGATGCGATATGGTGTGGAATTATAATATTTTAAAAATTTCTATTGGTTCAGGCCTGCTTCAGGTGATATTCAACTGTCCCATTGGTCTAGGGACACACTCACTCACTGTATATGTTATTGACAATTTGTAGTGATAAAGAGAAATAAAGGTATATAGAGAGAATATCAAATTTTCACTTAGCTTTGGACGTTTCGGGAACGAATCTTCTCTCGTTTTCAACATGAAAAATGCATATTTGTATAGCAAATTTGTATTCGTCTCAGTGACTATTGGTGACGTTGGCAATGAGTTACAGGATGTTTTCATTAATTAATCTTGAATTTACCATTTTCATTTTCACATTTCAGTATCATTGTCTATCTATATCAACTGAACAGGAAGCAATGCTATTGTCAAACAGATTCCTTGGTTTTTCTCTTCTGGTTGTTATCGTCTTTCGAAATCATTGGAAAAGAAAGAAAATCAGGGAATCTGCTTGGGTTCTTCTGAACGGAGACAATAGCATTGCTTCCTGTTCAGTTGATATAGATAGAACATGGTATTCACTACTGAAAGCTGGAAATGAAAATGGTAAATTCACGATTAATTAATGGGTCAAGACGAATACGAATTTACTATACAAATATCCAATTTTATGTTGAAAACGGGAGCACATTCGTTCCCAAAACGTCTTAAGCTAAGTGAACATTTGATATTTTTTCTATGTACCTTTTTTCTTCTTCAAACCCTCTTCAATACAAATTGTCACTGACAAGCTAGTTAATTTCTCTTTTAGACTTTCTGATAAGAAAATTCTTTAAATGCAGTGACATTTTGGGGCAAATCATCTGATTTGTCCTTACTACACGTGTATAGAAAAGATATTCATATTTTTATTTTATAGAAGGTAGTATTTTGGTGGCCTTGTGAGTTTGGAAATGTGCCAAACAAAATTGTTGATATGACCAATTCATATAGGTACTATATAAAGTTGTTACAATATGTCAGGAATAGCATCACCTACACAGGGTGTCAAATGTAAACCTTAAGAAGGCTCAAGGTTCATCTAATGGCACCATTGGAAAAAATATAGCGGTCCCTATAAGATAAGAAGGACAAGATCCTTTTTTCCACCCAAAATTCTACTCATCAAGAGCTTGTCGAGCATATGGAACAACTGGAACAAGAAGAATAGGAAGCGACGTTGGTGCTTATAAAGTGGATGATTCTTAGATCTGATGGGATGAACCACGTTGACTCAATACTCATCAGATGAAAATATTTCAAGAGAATTTGAGAATCTGTGACGAAGTGTTGTTCAATTTACCAGATGAGATTTCTCGTTAATTTGAAGATTTAGGGAAAATCGAATATTTCGGGGAATTTATATTAGACTGAAGCATATTGTTGTGTTTAATATTCATTTTCATTTTCGATAACACCCAGTATACCTATTACGGCAAAAATATATCTATGTTTGCATGCTTCATTCGTTGAGAATAAATCAGAATGAATTGAATAATTCAATATTTTCTAATATTATTGGATACATCAATGATATAGTATCATATAGTTACGAAAGATCCCAACAATGCGTTGCAATCTGGAATGAACCTGAAAAAACATTCGCAACGAATAAATCAAAGCGATCGTTTCGGTGAATGCGCCAGTAATGTTTCAAAATTTCAATCTCTCATCCATCATACGCGCCAAATCATCAAAATCGGAGAAATTTATGACCACCTGACCAGTAGCGCATCTAGGATTTAGTTCTAGGAGGGGTAAATGTCCAAATATAGGAAACAGAAACCTATCATTGAGTATAGAAACTAAAAATGAAAAACGAATAAAAAAAATCAAGAACATAAAAAAATTGTCATCAATATTTGAACAAAAATAAAACAAGACTAAAACACAAAAATAACAAAAAACATCTCAAAATATAACAAAAAAACTCTTTGGAAAGAGGAGATTACAAAATAAAGTCTACTCTTCTATTTTTTTTGGTAGCATATCGATTAATAACATCTTCGACATCTACCTGAATCTCTCTATGTATGCATAGCATTGCCAAACCTGAAAGCCTTTCTTGCAGCATGGTTGAGCGTAGCCAAGTTTTCAACCGTTTAAGGCAGGAAAAACTCCTTTCCGCAGAAGCCACACTAACAGGCAAGGTAACAAGTATTTGTAGGCATTGTTTAATAAGGGAAACATATCTCCATCACAAGATATAAAGAGATCTAAACCATCTTTAACATCATTTTGTGTAACGGATTTCCACAACTGAAACTCAGAATTTAGTTTTATGAAAGTTATATCATTGCTCATATTCTCATGCAACCTATTGATGTAGTCTGTTATTGTTTGAAGTGATTTAGTAAGTGCATCGGGATTTCTTGAACAAAAAATTGAATAAAAAAATATATTGAACTCAAAAGTATTCAGTCCCTCTTCATCAAACCTAAAACGAAAGTCGTTCGTAACATGATCCAACAAAGGTATGTACTAGTTGAGCCTGTAGTAAGTTTCAACATTTTCTGCTAGTATATTACTACGATATACTTGTCGTTTTATTATTCTTGGACTATGAATATCTATCTCCATTTTTTCATGAATATCACAAACCAATTCAAAAATAGCTTTAAATTGACGCTCAGCATTGCTTCGTTTTTCTTCCAAAACCAAAATTACATTTTCTATAACTCTACCAACATATTGTCTGTCGATTGATTTTGTTTGTAAAATCTTTCTTACATTAACTGTTAAATCTAAAATTTCACTCAAGCTATAAAGAGAAACAATAAATTCTGTAGAAGTAATTCCAGTTTTGAGAATCTCAGCTTCCAAGTTGAAATGATTCTGAGCAAATCAACAATGCTTTCAAAGCTACTTTTAAATTGCAGCACTGATTCGTGCCTAGCTACATCTAATATCACAAAGAATTTTGAGTTGAGTATTACCTAATTTTTGGCTGAGAAGGAAATTTCTTTTAGCCGATGCCCTGATACCCCCTGTGTCCTGGGGGGGGTAATTACCCCCTTTACCCCCCCCCTTGGATGCGCGCCTGCACCTGACAAATTTATCGAAAATATTGTTGAACAAACAATTGTCGGTGACAGCATATATCAGCATACATCAACATCATATAGAAACATACGAAACAATAATCCATAGATACGATGAAATCAACTTTTATCTTACATTTTGTTGAATTAGTTATCTATGGTAGGATATTCAAGCCTAGTCGTCAGCAATCGACTACGGATTAATTTAATTTTTTAGGATTTCTTTTTCGAAATTTCACTTAAAAAATTTTATGTATCACTGTTTAGAGTTTTTTAATAATTCTATGAAATTTGTGTTTCAATAACCCAATTGCATTAAAAACATTCCAGATATCTGATCTCTATTTCGTTCCATTTCGTTTTTCAGTGAGCGGAAAAATTATGACCGCCGCAAATCTGAATTGATAAGGGAAAATAGTGAAATAAAAAGTTAAAGCCACGATTCGTATCTCGGAATTTATTAGTTGAATGTCTTTGAGAGATAACTTTCTATTACGGGATACAGTCGTCAAAACTCAGAGGGAAGTATATGCGGCATACAGCAGTTCTCAAAATGTTAAAATGTTGACATGATATAAAATAACCTCTAGCTTTTTTCCAATTCGCAGTAGTTTTTTATTCATAATGATTTATTATCCATGCATCATCATATACACACAGTCTGTCCCAGATAGAACTCCGGAATCGTTAAGAAAATTGAAAATTACTCAGGCAGGTCGAATTCAATTCGGGAGGAGGGGACATTTTTCTGTAATTATAATATCCCAAAGTTGAAACCTTGAAGCAGAATGGGCATCAACTTTCGATATGCAAATATGGAACAGCCTGTATTTCATTTCATGATCGGTTAGTGATTATGGTTACCAATCCAACAATACCAAGTTTGATGAGGTGCTGATTTCCCAATATACTCCATGAGTATGAAGACATTCCAAATAATAATTGTACAAATCTTGTATTTCGTGCAAAATAGTGTATTCAGAGTATCGTTAATAAATTTAATATTTGAAATAAGTAAAAGTGAGGTTACTTACCCGTCAGGTTGACATGAATTCTCCATAAAAATATCTTTGGCTCTGTTAGGTACATATACATATCAATGTTAATTTCGTGTTAATCACGGTACACGGTACAAACATATTAAAATTCGTTTCTCACACTGAGATGAATTGTGCTTTTGTGCATTACATTTTGTTACATTACTTAGGTACCCAACATGGCTGAATGCATCTGTCGGGTTGAGGTATGCTTGATAAATGACAAAACAGAAAGTACTGGGATAATGGAAGCAAAAATCCAGAATTTGACATATGACATGACTTACAAGACGTGACATACTGACATGTGTAACGCCACAGAAATTGTCAAAATATTTTTGACAACAATTATTATGTGAACATTGTAAAAATTGGAAATGAATGAATAACCTATCCAACCATTATCTTAGCAATCTAGATGATCCAGAGAGAGCTCACTAAGGTCAGTCCAGATGGAATCACCAGTTGAAGGACAACTCACTAGTTCAACAACAGAATATTACAAATTTCGAGCTCCAAAGAAAAGAAAGATTTCCACTCAAGACTCATCATACTCACAATTTTCAATGCCAAACTCATTTTCAATAAATTAGAAAGAGTTTTTGCTGCCGATTTTATTCCCGCTGATAATTTGGAAAGTTTGAGGACTTGTGGTTCCCTTGATAGTTATCACCGAAAAACATTTACAACCGCGACTTTGTTCGCCTGTGACAAATCAATTTGAAGATATACATATGTATGTGCAGCCTCTCTTAATGTATGCACCCTATTCTCCGTAGCGAAAACATCCCTTAATGCGAGAAGTGCGTTCGCCACAAAGGGATCTTTAGCGATGCTAACTACAAACAAGTCTCCATATTATATATTTCGCTGTGATTTTACCTCAAAAAACTGATAATCGGTAATACATAACACACTACTCAGTCAGTTATTATGCAGAAAAATATTATTCATGGAATATCTCCAAAATTATGGGTTTTGGGTTTAGAGAAGTTGATTAGAACTAGGGTTGATTTTCATGAGGGAATTGTTTCATAAAAAAAGGTTGTTATTCAAAAAACTTAGATCTTCAATGTCCTTCATATCGGCGATCCACAACATTTATTTGACGATCAGAGATTGATCACATAAAGGTACATGTTTCGGGCTTATATAAGCCAATCATCAGCTGAATACAAGAATTTAGTTATGGTATGGAAATGAAAAAGTTGATAAATTTGATAATTTAGACAATAAAATGGCATAAGACAGAGAAGTATGCTCCATGATTAGGTATAATGAAATTTTTGTTTTTATAAGAACATTAACAAGTTTAATCAAAGTTCCATCACTAAATGCTTGTATTCGGCTGATGATGGGCTACATCTATGTGATCGTTTTCTGATCCTCAAATAAATGTGGAGATTAAATAATGGTAGGTTCTACAGCTCCTAATTCTAGTCTTCAAATCTTTTTCTGATCAATACATTTATTTCCTGAATTTATTGATGAAAAAAATCTCCCCATTCCTGAATAATATTAGCTTACGCGAAAAAGTATCGGTAGAGGTTATGGAGGCGGCAGTCTGGGTTGCCAATAATGAGACGTTTTACATGTTTATTGGGTTGAAATGGAAGCTATTTAGAGTGTCCTGGGGCGGCGTTTTGGCCACAAATAGAGAGACACAGCAACATGCGTCTAACGGGGTTAGTCGACGAACATACACCCAGTGGCGTATAAATAACATAAAGAGAAAAACATAAAATTCAACAATTTCCATTTTTGATCGAAATAGTAATTTAAGTAATAGGTCCGGAAAACACTATTTTTTTGGACGAGTAGACAAAATTCGCCGTAGGCGAGTCCTGGAAGTTTAAGAGTCCAAAAAAACTGTTTTTGGACGTGTTGCGTACACTATTTTCTCGGCAACCTAGTAGAATAACGAATCAATGAATTACATTTGTATCAAATACTTAAATTCGAACAGAATATCTATTCCTACTAAATGTTACATTGGAAATTTTGTATGGACATTTGACATTTTCAAACTCACTATCGCAGCTGCTTTCGATAGTTTATTGCGATAATCACAACAAAACTTTCAAAAATCGAAACAAATTTCATGTCAATATTTCGTTGCTATGGTAATTATCATCTGCAAAACTATATCTACCAAGATTTTCATAGTTACAGTGACAACAACGATGTGATACTTCCCGGCCTAGTCCGGGAAAGAAAAAGCGTCCGGGAAGTGAGCACAAAAATGTAATTATAAGAACTCACTGTTCAATAATTAAAGGAACAAATGAATCGATGCAAAACAAACAGTGTTCATTTCTTCCCCTAATTTTCATAAATTACAACATTACAAATTGAATCTGATGGACATCAAGTTGACCAGTAGGTCAGTTTCTGACTAAATTCTCTCTCAATCTTTATTCTTGCTTCTTTGTCACTTATGTTTTTTGACACTTTCAACATATACTTCCATCAATTATACGGATGACTTCAAAATATTTCCAGAAAATCATGAACAAGAATATTTCCAGCGAATTTCAATAACACTGCCCTGGCATAGCTTAGATCTGGATAAAATATCGAAATGCCTCTGATTTATGATCATCGTCAAATGAGAAATTTCATACGCCCCTGAAGTTGCAATACTTCGAAATTTCAACGTTTTTGATTTCTTTCTCAGAAATGAACTGGGTACACCCATGATTTTAATATTTCGGATAATATGATGGAAGGAAATGTCATAAAGGTAATATTTTGGATATTTTAAATATTTGGTAAGAGTTGAAAATAGTTTTGGAATTCCTCTAGTGTGCCCACTCTTCAATTTTTACATTGATTACATCATTGTGAAACTTCAAGGAGGACCCTTTGTTTCTGATGGCCACCCGATAGATATCGATTTCATCTTCCGAATTTTCAAATTAGCTAAGACTGTCATAATTTTTCTGAATTTTCGGGGTTTTGTCTTCTCGTTTCTATAAATAATAATACTAGTATTATTTCAATATCAGATAATTTAGCACATAATGACACTGAATTTGAGAGTTCACTATTGAGATACATTTTTCCGATAGTAAAGTGACAATCTTTTCGTAAAATGTATGACGTAGAAGAAGATAAGTATATTGAAGAATATTGAATTTTACACGATTTTGTTCCGGGAACGAATATGTTTCTGTCATAAACATCAAAATCGAAAATAACCTCCAAAAGTTGCCATTGGTTTTCTCTATTGACATTGGCACTACTCAGTAACAGAAGTTGATACGAGAAAGTGTACGTTTTCACTAATTGATCTTGAATAATAGTAGATTGTTTTATTAGGATCAAAAGTGACACTTTGTTTGACAAGCGAACTTTGCATTTGCGAGGCGGAGCGTTTAGCGAAGCCGAGCGAAAGCAAAATTTGCGAGTCGAACAAAGTCACTTTTGATCCGAATGAAACATGCTATTTTTTCTGCAACCGAAACAATTAACTCAAATAAACATGTGAAGTAACCACCAATGCCGTGCCATATGTATGCAATGCAACAAATATTGACAAATAATCCATGTGGTGAGAATATTCTACCTGCATTAACAGCAGGTTAGGTTTTCTAGGATGTTCGAATTGTAGTTTCAATATAAATACGACTACAGGGTGACATATTTGTGTATGGACCAGGTGCTCTAATGGCAAACACCTTGCTAGAGCCAGCTATAGGCTATAGGAACAAGACGTGGAAAATTTTAGGTTAGTGAGCATATTTATTCCTCTCCATACTACACTGTGTTTGATAATCAAATGAAGCTAAACAAATTCTAAACAATATCGTTGTTTGAGACAAAAAAACAATTGCTTGCCGTGATTATTCAAAAACAAGTTATCCATCCCGAGAATAACGAATGAAATACAAATCAAGCAAGTATTTGAATCTGGAAGGCTTACCTGATCAAAACAGGAATACTTAACTGAGATGTTTATAATTCCAATACAAAACTATAATAAGGTGTATTTATATCTCCAGCATGGGTATGAAATGCCAAATCTGCTGAAATCGGAAACAAATCAGGTATGCGTCTCAACCCAAATAACCAACCGTCACAATTTTGTTTATTCTTGATGACTTCCAGTAATTCTTTAGCTCCTAGGAACTAAATATGTTGCCTAGCAACATATCTATTTTTGTGTCAGTAATAGAAACGTCAATTTAAGAGCTAATTTCGGTATCAAAATGGACGACTTTTGTGTCGGTTGCAGAAAAACAATATTATAATCTCCGTTCAGGAAAAGGCAAGCAGATTCTAAGATTGTTTTTATGGTTGTCATAATTCTTCATATAGGGAAGAAATTTGTTCTACGCCCCTGTGTTTGAATTCTCCCTGGGGCTATCCAAGCAGCTACTGAATGCACACCGACTTTTAATGTACAATTAAAATACTGTTTCCCTAATCTAACTTGCTTAACAACATTGTTTCGAACACAGCTAATTCAATTTACCCGGTAACGGAAACTCCAATAAGGAGTCTTGTACCTTTGCATTTCAATGAGTTCATCGAGATTCTGCATAAGTAATAGCGGCACGGGAATTTGGATAGTCTGGATTTTCTCCAGAATTGAATATATATTGAGATATCACACAAATTCGTGTTAGTTCCGTAAGAAAAAAATTGATTGTAATTTCACACAATAATGTGTCAATTTCGGTCCACGCCCGATTGAGTTGAAATATCACTCTACTTGACTGTGTAAGATGAGTTGAAAATTCACTGAAAAATGTCAATCAGTAAATTCACTCACAACCACATGATATGCATCATTCAAATGAATTTTTTACAGTGTACATTCATTTTGCTGGATTATTTGGGATCTCGTTTCATTAAAATGAAAAATTATAAGTATTATTCGAATAAAGGTGTAGTGAGGATTAATCAGATGATTTATCACAAAATGTCACTGCGTTCAAAAATGTTTCTACCAGAGAGCCTGCAACAATATTGAATTTGTTATGTCATGTTGTATTTTTGTTACATTTTTAAAAATTTT